AGAAAGAACAACCAGGCAGTGCCACTGTTTTAGAAACTTACCTGGGGAACACCAAGAGGGCTCATTTAAAATGCAAATTCAGTCTTCCAGGGTGGAGCCTGGGAATTTGAATTTTTGTTAGACAGCCCAAGTGATCTGGAGGTTCTACGTTACAGGATGAGAAAAAGCGGTTTAAGTATGGATGGAGATGGGGAGGCATTTTGAGGGATAGTGAGGGACGCGGCCTAAAGGGAGGTGCCTGAGTTCTGTATTCTCGCTTTATCCTTTGCTCAGCTGTGTGACCTCAGCCAAAACAGGTCCTATGGTTTCCTCCCTCATAGGATATAAGCCAATCTTTCTCAGACTATAGGACAGGAGCCTTTCCTGGCTTTGGAAATCAGTTTAGTCCCAGTTAGCCTTAAAAATAACACCGGATACTAGCATTTCCATTCTTGTAAGACTTTTCAAAGAAGATGTGTGATAGATATTCTAATAGAAAAGCAGCTACATGCCCATCTCAGAGAACAAACCCCCGGGCCTATCCAGGTGAGGGGAGAGGAGAGGAGGGGGAGGGGAAAGGAGGAGAGGGCTGGGAATTGGTAAACTCACCCTATGGACACACTGAGAGGGCTCAACTGCCTCAACTACAACTTGAAATTTATGGTAGCAGCATGAACAATGTAATTTAATAATTTGCACCTTCATATTAATCTAAATTTAAAAAAAAAATTGGGAGATTGATTGTAAAACAATGTGAATTTACAGTATTGAGTGGTATACTTTGACATGGTTAAGATAGTAAAATGTGATGTTATATATATTTTACTACAACTTAAAAAATTATCTAGAATGCACTCCAAGAGAGGATGAGTCATTTTTACACACTAAAGTAGACATGCATAAAAAGCCAATCTCAATTTTTAAGCTAAAGGAATCCCTGAAAAGTTTTGTTAAATAAGTCATCAGTCATGAAATCTTTAACCATTGGCTTATATTTTAAAATATATTAAAAAGGGTTCAAAGTTTTTAACGCATGGAAATCAAGCAGTAATACACATGTTCATAGTAAATATCTATCATAGATCTTTTAAAAAGTGTTCTTTCTTAGCATAAACATAACACGTATGAAAATACACTTTAAGTGTTAAAAAATGAAATTCAATGGAAGAAACATAATTTGAAAACATTTTAAGGGTAAATATTGTTTCACAAACGTGGTGTCTTTCCTCTACCTCTCAGCACAGCCCACACTCCTGGGGGAAGTGGGTTGCAATTGGCCTCCTGAGCCCTGGAAGTATTTGCAAAGGACTCAGGTCAATAATTGCCGGGTTCAGTCCTGGGAGCCTTTGGCCCGAGGGTAGTGCATATGGGAATTGCTCATTAGCTCTTCCCAGGAGAAACTTTCTTTCACACAAATGTTCATGAACTTCAATTCTGCTCTATTTTAAAAATAATTAAGTGACACTTCTCAGGAAGGTCTTCTCTGAATCCTCTTTGAGACTCCCCTCCCTTTTTTTGTGACTATCCCAGTGGTACCTCCTTTTCCTTCCCTGCAAGTACTACAACTTGCAGTATAACTTACTATACTGTCTCTGGCTTGTCTGTAATTGCCACGGAGCATGAGTCCTGCTCTGAATCCTTGTGACTATCATAGTTCTTGTCTGTAAATACAGAGGGTGCTGAAAATATCTATACACATTTTTTTTTTTTGGAGACAGAGCCTCAAGCTGTCCCCCTGGGTAGAGTGCTGTGACATCACAGCTCACAGCAACCTCTAACTCCTGGGCTCAAGCGAGTCTCCTGCCTCCGCCTCCCAAGTAGCTGGGACCACAGGCGCCCGCCACAACGCCTGGCTATTTTTTGGTTGCAGCCATCATTGTTGTTTGGCAGGCCCGGGCTGGATCGAACCCGCCACCTTAGGTGTATGTGGCTGGTGCCTTAGCCACTTGAGCCACAGGCGCTAAGCCTCTATACACATTTTTAACACAGGAAAAAAACTATTAAATTTGTAATACTCTAGTTGCATTCATTCAGCAATTACAAGAGGTGCTCTGTGTGGCTCGTATTTGTCTTTTGTCATTGGGAAATGTTGAGTATTACGATTTTTATACATTTTTTCCCTTTTTTTGGGAGATAGAGTCTCACTATGTTGCCCTCAGTAAAGTACTGTGGCATCACAGTTCACAGCAACCTCAAACTCTTGGGTTTAAAAGATTCTCTTGCCTCAGCCTCCCAAGTAGCTAGGTGCCGACCACAGTGTCCAGGTATTTTTTGTTGCAATTGTCATTGTTGTTTAGCTGGCTGGGACTGGGTTTGAACCTGCCAGCCTCGGTGTATGTGGCTGGCATTGTGACCAGTGTGCTACAGGTGCCGAGCCCATTTTTTTTCCCTTTCTTAAAGTGTGTACACATATTTTGTGCACCCTTTGTATTTGCTGAATCAATGAATGGATGAAATTAACCCCATTCTTCAAAAGACAGCCACTAAGGCTTCCAAAAGTATCATTTTATTACCTAATTGTAACAGTACAATTGGCTTTATATTACTGCCTTCTATGTAACGTATCATTTGTCTCTAATTATTACAATAGTCAATAACGTGCAAGAAAAAGGTTCTTTTGCCTATCTTCAGAGAGGAAATTAGGGGGTCAGGAAAGTTGTTTTGCCTGGGACAAAACAGAGAATAAGTTGGAAGTGATAGAGGTAGGATTTGAACCCAGGGCTGGCTGGCTCTGATGCCAGTCCTATTTCTCCTTTTCCTTGGTTCTTCTGCACTGGCCTGAGTTAAGGCAGCTCCATTCTTTGCATTCTGTCCTAGGTATTTTCACCATAAGATGCCTGCTGTGGGGCGGGACAGGGCATGGTCCCAGCCAGGCCTCCCACCTGGTTGCATCACCCATCTGCCCCCGCAGTTTCTTCTCCAGACCATCCCAAACATGGTTGGGGAGCTCAGAGGGGAGGGCCCAGCATTCTCCAGTCCAGACACTATCTAATCAGCAGCACTCCTCAGCATATCAATCCGAGACCACTCTGAAGAGGGATGCCTGTGCTCAGTTTTCTATTTTTAACTGGTGTGAACTGGAAGAAAAACACAAGCATTAAGAATGAAAGCGCCAGTCAGGGACTGAGGATACAGGGCACCCCGGGGCAATCCAGTGATCTGTGTCCTTCTTGTGTCACCCTCTTTCTTCCCTGTCTCGTTTTATGTCAACTTTCTTTTTCCTTCTCAAACGCTCCAAGATCCTGCAAAACCTGGTTTCCAAGGAGGGGATGACATCAGTCATTTATACCAGTGCTTCTGAGACTTTACACACCAAACAAATGGGATCTTGCTGAAAAGCAGGTTGGCCTGGGACTGTATTTCCAGCTCATTCTTGAGGTATGACTACACTGCTTTGCCCACACACGGAGCTCCCAGTATCAGGGGTTGACGTGTTTATGTGGTTTAAACTGCTCTTATCTTCTAGAGTATGTGCCTTTTCAAACTTGTCTCCACCTGAAATGGAAAAGGCCCTTGCCCTCAGTTTAAAAACGTTCATCGATCCATGAAAATGTGCATTGATTCAGCAATGGGCAAGCTGCTTTTGACATTTGTTCCTTCAATCACTTTGGTGGCAGGGGATCCTCTTCTGGCCTAAAGATCAGAGTCTGAGCTTGAGCAAATTACCCCAGGCTGGAGGAAGGCTAACGGATACCCAGACTGGGATAAATATACCCCACAAGCTCCCACAGCAGCCCTTCTCAGCCTCTTCCCTGGCCAGACCTGGACGCCCACCTGGGCTGGGACTCCAGTGGCCTTGGTTCATCCCACCACCTAGAATAAAGCCATCAGGCTGGCGGAGACTGGACCAGAAGGGTGCCCTATCCCAGTGCCCCTTTTCCAGCCACTCAGATGTGCTCCTGTGGCATTCTTTGTGTCCCTGAGAACTGCCAGGGCTCCGCTCCTCCAGCTCCCAGCCCTGGAAGATGAGAAGCTGCTGTCTCCCCTGCTGGCCTGGCCCAGCTGTCAGGACCCCTCAGAAGAGGGCAGGGCGCCAAGCCTTCCCACGCGCATGTGGCTAATTGTCCCTCAGGCTGGCTGGGTGCGGAGGAACGAATCCACCGCACTTCCAGGGAGCACCCCCCACCCCAGGAACGGGGAGGGGGCGGACTGGAGTCATTTAGTCTTCCCCTGCCCCCTACCCTTCCGCCTGCCCCTCCCTAGCTCCCTATTTGGCCATCCCCCTGGCTGCCCCCTCCCCTTCCTTACATGGTCTGGGGGCCCGGTTGATCCTATCCCCTGCCCTTGGCTCCATGAATGGCCTCAGCGGTCCTAGTTGGTGCGAAGGCGACCAAATAAGGCAAGGTGGCAGACCGGGCCCCCCACCCTGCCCCCGGCTGCTCCAACTGACCCCGTCCGTCAGCGCGCTATAAAGCGGTGCTCCCGGCGCCGCCACCAGCGCCGCAGCCACCGAGCAGAGCCGCCGCGGAGGTGAGTGGCGCCGCCCCGCGCGCTTCTCCGGCCGGGACCGCAGCCCCGCCGAGGCCCCGCGCTCCTGCTGGTCCGCTCACTTTTTAAAAAAACCCAAAACTTTCTGATTTGCGTCAAACTTGTCTTGGCCTGGGTCTCCGGCCTCACAGGAGAGGGGTGCGCAGAAGGGGAGTTTTGTGGCCCCTCCAAAGGGCGTTTGGGCCCCTGCTTTTGTGAGCTTTCCCGTTCATCTGGGGCACAGGCCGGGAGTGTGGCTGGGGCTGAAGATTGGGTTCTCAACTCGGGAAAAGGCGAAAACTCACAGGACTGGGGAGGATCTGCTAAGGGCTTGGGTTTTTCGGGTCTCCAGGGCCGTCCCTTTTTGCACCTGGAGGGGAGGATGTGACTTCTGGTCTGAGAGACCGGGTGGGTTCCTCTCCCCTTCCCTGTGCACCTTCCTAACTCCTCCGTAGCTTCTTCCTGCCCTTTTATGATGCCTCTAGGCGAGGGGAGATGGCAGGCGTCTCCCCCACTCCTCCTGTACCCCGAATTCCCCTCCCTCGGGCGTAGAGGCCAGCTCCACAGGCAGCTGAGCATGACCCACCTCTCTTCCTCCACCTGCAGACCCCGCTGAAGCTGTGCCAACATGTGTGACGATGAGGAGACAACCGCGCTGGTGTGCGACAACGGCTCCGGGCTGGTGAAGGCCGGCTTTGCGGGCGATGATGCGCCCCGGGCTGTCTTCCCTTCCATCGTGGGCCGCCCGCGCCACCAGGTAAGCTTCCTACCTGGCCTGACCTGCTCCTACCAGGGGCAGTCCCCAGTGCCACCCCACACCCCTTCCTGCCACCTCCTGGGTCCCCAGGTCTAGGGAATATCTCACCCAACCTTCCTGTGTCATGACCTCTTCAGGTCAAGTTAGGAAAAGTTGAATCAGTTTCAAATCCAAGCCAAGACAAGCAGTACCCTACCAGACTACAGCATATCAAGAAATACTCGTGTTCCCCCAGTCTACTGGAGCCGCTGGCCTCGCCAAAGGCCCACTCCCTGGAATGAAAAGCCATCAGCTTCTCTCCATTCATGGCCTTCTAGATTTTTTAGGTCTCATTATCTTCTTCTGTGCCTCTGATACACTTGGCTTTCTCCACTGTCCTTCCATTTCAGTGCTGCTCAAAACAGATAAGGACATAATCCCTCTTATCCACCCAGGACCCAGTCCACATTCCTGTCTCTCTTGTTCACAGCCAGTTTGCAGGGCTCCCCAAGATGTAATCTATCTCCTTCCTGGCTGATGCATTTTTAGAAGCCAGGCGTGACAGAAGCAGCAAGTGCCATGGTGATAGTGACATACCACCTCGTTTATTAAAAGAAATGCCGTGCTCTCTGGGTTTGTCACATGCCTGGCCAGACAGGCTGGCAAGGAGGAGAGCTATCGTCCTCAGTGGTGGTGAGTGATGGCTTCTCCAGGACAGCTCTGCACAGGCTGGGTCTCACTGTCAGGGTGAAAGCGGCACATCAGCCCCTCTTTATATGCTCATTTGATAAATGTCAAAATCTTTTCTTAGGAGAAATACAGTGTGTCATTGATTCAGTCATTCCAAAATGCAGTCATCCGTATTCTAATTGACATGGGTGATCAGCTTAGTAATTTAATGAGGCATTATGATATTTTTAAAATGAGATACTTCTTCAGTGAAATGGCATTATTTTTCCCCCCTAGGTATGTTCTAGACAATAGTTATACATCTTTAGGGGAGGGAGAAGAGATAGCACATGGCAGATTTTAAATGATTCTTCTAAATTGGGGTAAAATCCTATTGTCTATTATTTCTGGTATTTTTAAGATGGTCCTTGACCTGGGCTGTTAGATAACAATTGATCAGGCATTGGTGATATTCCTGACATGGGGGGAGCATGACTTTCTCTTTCTTCTTATAGGGAGTCATGGTGGGTATGGGTCAGAAGGACTCCTATGTAGGGGATGAAGCCCAGAGCAAGCGAGGCATCCTGACCCTGAAGTACCCCATTGAGCACGGCATCATCACCAACTGGGACGACATGGAGAAGATTTGGCATCACACCTTCTACAATGAGCTCCGTGTGGCTCCCGAGGAGCACCCCACCCTGCTCACCGAGGCCCCACTGAACCCCAAGGCCAACCGTGAGAAGATGACCCAGATCATGTTTGAGACCTTCAACGTCCCTGCCATGTATGTGGCCATCCAGGCGGTGCTGTCTCTCTATGCTTCTGGCCGTACCACAGGTATTCCTGGGTCCTGGGGATGATTTCTGAGTAATCACATTCCCACATCGTTGATCTTGCTGAAAATTACATTCCCAGATTGGGAAAGAAATAATCCCTTCCCTCACACTCTCTAGCAAGGTGTCTGTGCTGAGAGAGAGGATAGTACCCAAGGTTAGTTTCGGAGCATACTTACTATAACAGCTGATAGCTTGGGGAGTTAGATCCTTCCTTTATTTAAAGTATGTGATGTCAGATACTGAGGCTCAGCACCTTGTGGCAACCTGGAATGCAGCAGTCATTGGTGTGTGTCTATATCATTACATCCCCTGGGCAAGCATCCCCAAGGAGAACACATATTCCCTCCAGGGGCTGAGTCAAAAAAGAGAGTATCATGTAGAATTTCCATGGAAGCAAAGAAAAATATACTTGTATGCTTACATAATGTGCTAATGGCTGATGAGCGAAATGGTCACTTGAAAGTGTCCTCAGGAAATTTTTCTGCTACAGTATTTAAAAGAATGTGCTGCAGTTGGCTTCAGATTTAGTATCCATGATGCTCATTTTTATTCTTTGTGTCTAAGTGATCTAATTTTATCTGAATCAATTCCCATTGCTAGTATCTCTCAGCCAAGGTTAATCAGACTTTGTCATGGCTGAAGCAGTGGTGGTGTCCTCAGGAATTTACCTTATTCTTGTCTGTTTCCGGCCCTTCCAGGGATTGTTCTGGACTCCGGGGATGGTGTAACTCACAACGTCCCCATCTATGAGGGCTACGCTTTGCCCCATGCCATCATGCGTTTGGATCTGGCTGGTCGGGACCTCACTGACTATCTCATGAAGATCCTCACAGAGCGTGGCTACTCCTTTGTCACCACCGGTGCGTGCATGTGTGTGTGTGTGTGTATGTGTGCGTGCGCATGTCATCCGCCATAGCATGAGCGTGCTTTTTTTCCTCCCTCGATGAATCCACGTATCTCCTCACTACTGACTTCCTTTTTTAAAACTTGATTGTGATGCCCTTTATTTCTGCAGCTGAACGTGAAATTGTCCGTGACATTAAAGAGAAGCTGTGCTATGTTGCCCTTGATTTTGAGAATGAGATGGCCACAGCTGCCTCTTCCTCCTCCTTGGAGAAGAGCTATGAGCTGCCTGATGGCCAAGTCATCACTATTGGCAATGAGCGCTTCCGCTGCCCTGAGACGCTCTTCCAGCCCTCCTTCATTGGTGAGTGGTGGGTTCTGGTGTAGAGGCATGCATGGCTTTGCCCTGGAACTCTTAGGGTCTCCTACAGTAAAATTTGTTATAATTAGGAAGGAGCAAAGGGCCCATGAATTTAAAAAAGTCATAGCTTGGAGTCCCACACAGCTCAGCCTCAAGTCCTGATGGCTCATTTAAGGGAAAGTCTGTATTCTGCTCTAGTGATATGATGAAGGATGACATACCGAGTTCATCTCAAAATACAGCCTAGGCAGAGTACCAAGTGAATGTCCTGTATCTACAGGAAAACCCGATTACTCAAGAGAGCTGACTTATTCCAATAAGTTCCATTGCCGAGTAGCTGGACTTGCCTTTCAGCTACTCATGGTTAAATGCAGCAACTGTCCTGCCCATAGTAATAACTGGACACCAAACATCTTTCCTAAGCAATGATTTCCAGAAGGTAGCTTGTCAGGATTTTATTTTGGTCCATAAAATAAAACTGCACTCATTTTAACTTAAATATGTGTCTCGTCTTTTTCCAATACATCTCCACACATCTGATGGCTACAGGAGGTGTTCGCTCCAAGCAGGTGCCAAACACAGTTGTTCCTTTCTTGGCAGTTTATACTGTCAGACACCTGTTCCACATATGCCCTGCAGTGTATCTCCTAGGGGAACATATGTTTCAGAGACAAATGGTGACAGCTCACCAACACAGAGGGATCCTGTTCTCTTCCCTCCATCCTGGCCTGAACGCACCGTGACACTTCTTATGAACTTGTTCCCAGGTATGGAATCTGCTGGCATCCATGAAACTACCTACAATAGTATCATGAAGTGTGACATTGATATCCGCAAGGACCTGTATGCCAACAATGTCTTATCTGGTGGCACCACCATGTACCCTGGTATTGCTGATCGAATGCAAAAGGAAATCACTGCCCTGGCCCCTAGCACCATGAAAATTAAGGTAAAGCACCTCTGGGGGTGGGACGTCCAAGGCAGGTCTTGGTATTCGAAGCAGAACCACCTTCCTAACTCCTTTCTCCTCACGCTTGGCTTCTTGTCCCCTATAAACTTTACCTTTTAGTTTCTCTAACACTTGTTCTCACACTTTTTCTTTTTTGAATTTTTTTCTAGCACTTTCCCCAAGATAGGAAACTCTAAAAGTGCTTTCAAGCGATGAATAAAAATAAATCTTTGCCAAGAAAAAACCACAACTCAATCTTTGAACACATTTTAAAAGCCCCAACTTTGGGGCTAGCATCCGTCATGCATTTCTCTTGTTGCCACATTATACTCTAGTTCAGAGAACTTGGGGAAGTCTATTTTAATAATGCAATATGTCTTTGATAATGGAAATGGTGAAATAGAGGAAAGTTTATAAAACTTGACTGGCCATATTACTTTGTAGTACGAAATATCCCACGTTGACAGTGAATTAGCATCTGGTATGTTTTTCTGTGATTCTTCCCAACATGTTGCTTGCTCCTTGGCTTGTCAGCGTTAGAGTTCATTGGAAGTTGGTCTTTTCTTTCTGCAGATTATTGCTCCCCCTGAGCGTAAATACTCTGTCTGGATCGGGGGCTCCATCCTGGCTTCTCTGTCCACCTTCCAGCAGATGTGGATTAGCAAGCAAGAGTATGATGAGGCAGGCCCCTCTATTGTCCACCGCAAATGCTTCTAAGATGCCGTCTCTCCTTGTCCACTTACCGTCAGGATGACAATATTCTGCTTCTTGGAGTCTTCTGAACCACCCTCCCTCATCTCTCATCAATCATTGTACAGTTTGTTTACACACGTGCAATTTGTTTGTGCTTCTAATATTTATTGCTTTATAAATAAACCAGACCAGGACTTGCAACCTACAAAAGCCTCCCCTTTCTTTTTGGAGTAGGCATGGGCTAGGGCAGGTGTTTGACATCGTGAGCATTGTAATATTACAGTATCACAAGGTTCAGCCAGACAAACGAGGGTGACAAATTTTGATTTTATATTTTGGGACAGAATCATAAATATAGTTCATATCTGAAAAGTAGGTGAGGTTTAATTCCATACAAGCAAGAAATGGAATAGAATAAGCTAATTCTCTGAGATGAATTGCAATGGTTGACAGTGAAAATTGTTGTTGGAGCATACGTTCCAGTTGTTCTTATAACTTTGCAGAACACACACATATATTGATAACGAAAAAGTCAAAGCTTATTTTCAATAAATTGGCTTTAACTTCTACCTCTTTGGACTCTTCGATTGTCTTCCTCAGCGCTGTGCATGAGACAGAAAGGCTGGCTGACAGTTGGGCTCAGCCATGTCCTGTTGCAAATACCCTTAAATAGATGAAGACCAGTGTGTGTCTGTGTGTCTTCAAAACAAGGACACAGGGAGGGAGCAGGAGCCAGACACTTTGGCCTCATCAGTGCCTAAGTCACAGGATAATGATCTTTAACCTCTTCATTTCTTTGACATTCGGGGACATTTTATTGAGTGAAATGAAGGCTGTGAGGTCCCGAGGGAGCAAGGAGAGGGAAGAACCACACCATTCTCTTGGCTCTGTGCTGCTGGACTCTGCAAACTGTGATGGGAGGAGCACAGCAGGCAGCATCTGAAAGAATCAGCCATGCTCTGTCCTTGGGGGGTTCACATACCTACACACAAAATCCCAGTGCAGGCTTTAAGGAGATAGACAGGGGTCTGGGGTCTTGAACATTGGTCTTGAAGATTGAATTAGGGAGGTGAGAAGGGCAGAGAGATTATCTCTGCAGAAGCAAATGGTGCACAAGCCTGGGGCTGCTAGGAGCTAATGAATTCTAGAAAAGATAAATTTCAGCCTCATTGCTGAAGCTTGAAAAATTTCTATTTTCAAATTGTTCATACACTGTGAGAGCTCGAAGGGGTGTTTGAATGGACTTAAACTTTACCGATGAGGGTATCAAGACACTGAGAAATTCAGCAACCAGTACAATGTTACACGGTTTGTGTGTGGAAGATTCACGGCAGGAACCCAGATTTTCTGATGTTTAATTTTACCAGTGCCTCTAAAATCATCTTTTCTCACTTCAGTCACAATCTATCAAGAGTAACCCAATTCTATCACACACCTTTGAGGAGTCTGGGTTCAAAATTGGGAGTACTTTGGGCTCACCAGTCACCTTTAATAAATTGCCACTGTCATTCCAGGTCATACCTGTGTCTTTATGCTCCTTTTTGAAAAAATATATTTGATCTGGGATCCAGACACAGGAGTAGGGGCAGGAAACATGAAAATGGATCAAAGCACATTTTCTGTGTTTAAAAAGTTTAGAGTTCTATATATAGCTTTTAGTACAGCTTCGTGGAAGGCTTTCTCTGCAATAAAGGCTAAATAATACATCATTCTGGTGGCATTTTCTTTGGATAAGTTATATTATTATAGATTTTCCGTCTCTCCTCCCCCCACTGTATCCCATAGCACAGATGAATTGGTTTAAAAGCTAGGTATCAATTAGGGAGATATGGCTCAGTTTGTCTCTGTGTCTCTTTATTCTCGCCTGTCAAATTGCATAAATAGTGTGAATTTTATCCTCTGAATACAGTATTAATGCCATAAGTACAGACAACTGGCTGGGTATCCCATGTGGTTCTTTCCATTTTGAGTAGAAATGAAATCTAGATCGATGATTTTTACTTAAAAAAGAAGCTTAAAGAATGAGTTTCTGATATTTGTCTAAGCATACAGCTTTTCTTTTTGAGACAAAGTCTCACATCCTAGCAAACCCATCTTAGCAAAAGTGCTACACACCTCATTGCTGAACACCACTCTAGCCTTCTTCGAAGTCCTCCCCTTGGGAAGCTCTGCAGCAGTGCCAGTGTTCAGTCCGTCCTTCAAAGCACTTTTTCAAGGATGAATTCACAAACTTAATTGTCAGATGACAACTCTGATGGCTATGGCAGAAGAAGAGTTCCAAAATTACTTTGAAGGGTGAACTAGGCACTGACATTGGTGCATGGCTTCCCAAGGGGAGTACTTTGAAGGTGACCGTACTGATATTCAGCAAGGAGGGATGGAGCAGTTTTTCTAGGATGAATTTGAGAATTTAATTGTCCAACTTCGTATATTGCTCAGGATGGGGAGCAGTGATATTCACAGGTGCAATTCTACAGCTGAGCAGCACAGGAATGTTGATCTGCTTTGTTCACCTCTCCTTAGGCAACCAGGTGGCTCTCACTCCTAGGAGGTCAGCATAATGACACGGTCAGCATATTGTACACCAGATGGACATAGCACACTACAGCCCAGAACTCCTGGGCTCAAGCAGTCCTCCTGCCCCAGCCTCTGAGCAGCTTGGACTGTAGGTGTGTGCTACCACACCCAGGAACACACAGATTTCTGTCAAGTTCTAAGGTTTTCTCATCTCTGTTTGATAATAAGGTATAAGGTATTGGAACAGCTAATCCTGCTAAAAGTTGTCCTTAAGGAAGATACTTAAGTGAGTGTTTTCTCAAGGCCATCTTGTATATATGTAAAAGAATTGAAATCTCTATAGTGATTCTGTCTTTGGTTGAAGTGCCATGCACAAAAATCTATATAGATCATAATATTTCTTCTTAATTTATGATAAAAATAGTATTATTGTTAGTTTTTAATACTCTCAAACACTATCTCTTTGTTCTTCTTGACCAAGAAATGATCATTACATAGATGTGTGTAAATATTCAAGAGTGTATAGTAAAGAGAAAAGAAAAATTACTGAAGAAAATGGAATGTTTAGAGGGGTAGGGCTGACGATATACTGTATCCAGGGCCTAGAACAATGTCACTGGATCTTCAGCTTTCTCTCTAGCTCTTCAGTGGGATTTATTATTGTTCGTATTGTGTTATGTGACATTCACAAATTCGTAAGTTTAAGCTTTAACCCTCAATGTGACTGAATTTGGAGACAGGCTATTTAAGGAAATAATTAAGGTAAATGAAGTCATGGGGGTGGTCCCAATCCAGTAGGATTGTGGTCCCCATAAAAGGAGGAAGAGACACCAGGAGAGCACACACAGAGGAAAGACCATGTAAGGACACAGCCAGGAGGTGGCCATATGCAAGGCAGAGAAAGAGGCTTCATGAAACCAGTCCTGCTGAAACCTTGATCTTGGACTTCCAGTCTCCAGAGCTGTGAGAATTAGAAATGTGGTGTTAAGCCACCTGGTGTATGGTATCCTGTTATGAAAGCCTTGGCAGTCTAATACAGAATTTCTCCACATGTTGGACATGATGGCCCAGGGGTCTTAGTCTTTCAACTTGCAGCCTCGGGAACAAAAAAGTCCCTTCCTATATAGTACCAGCAGAAGTTCCAGGGAAGTCTCTGAGCCTGGCCAGGTTTGAGAACTGAGTCATATCATCCCTGCTACAGGGACTGCTCAGTATTATTCAGTGGGGGAGGGGCGATTTTCCAAAAAAAGAAAACAAAATTATACAAACACCATATCCAATGAGCTAGAGCAGGAGAAAATACTGGGGGTGTGTAAGGGAGGGACCATCTGTTGGAAGACTCCAACTTTCCAGCTTAGGAGTTTTATTTAATTTGACAGGTCCTAAGAAGGACTCAAGAAGAGACATGACTTCATTCAAACAAAACTGGGAGGTGAGACTGAGATTCTTGGAATCATGATACTTGTAACTGGTCACATATTTTTTATACTCCATTATGGCCCAAGGATCCAGGAACCCAATGGCCCCTACACAATCAGATAGTTTTTTGAAAGGAGATAATAAGTCAGATTCACTTTATGGTTAACATGCTACAAATGTCATAGTTTCTAGTAACTAGTAATGGGGGAAGAAATTTTAAGTCTTTTTGGCCTAAAAGAACAAAAGTTGTCCATGTTCACCTTCCAGGCTCATTATGTAGGGAATTTCTTCCCTCGGCAGAGCTTGGCTATTGCTATGGCAACCAAACTCACAGTAGGAGGACATCACTGAAAACAAAACTCTCAGGGAGGTTGCAAAAGTACACCTCTGCTCATTGGTGAGCTTGATTCTAGATGTTTTTTGCAGTTCCATTGTCAGCCCTGCGTGCAGTAGATGAGAGAAAGCTTGACTAAGAGGATGAAGATCTTCAGTTTAACCACAGCTCTCTGAGTCCTTATGGTTCTGCCACTCCCCTTGTCTCCCTGGGAGAGGTTAGAGGGGAAAGGGAGCAGAGCCAGCTGAGAGCTAAGCAGAGGTGGCTTGCATGTCCTTTAGCATCACCATCTCCTTATTTCTCTGCATTGACTGCAGCTTCCGTGGAAATCAAGGTTGGGGAGGGGAGACAGAAAGACCCAAAGGAAGGCTGATGTGAAGCTCAATTAAGATGCAGCATTAATAGTAGATGAGAAGTGGACTCTGGAGTCAAGGGTAAGCAAGGAATTGGGTCAATAGGTTTTGTGTTTCACACAGAAAGATGACTTTGGGAAACTTTGGAAATACTGCTGCATAAGGACTGGGTAGGCATCCTGTGGGATAAGGTGCGATAGAGAAGGCACCACGGAGGAATTTAAAAGCAAACCTACCTTAGTGACAGTAAGGCCTCTTGAAGCCCAGGATCTATGCTTTGAGCTTCTTCTCTAGTATCTTTCATCCCATGCCAGCTACCTGGGACCTTCTCCCTAGTGCTCTTACCACATCTGCATTTACCTGTCCTTTACCTGCAACCTGCTAGGAACAGACTGTACTCGTGGAAGCATCAGTTACCTGTTTTCCCAAGGAAAAGCTAGAACAGATCTCTCTGCCAGAGAAAACATGCATAATTTACCAATAGTTTTATGCATATAGTTTCTTATTAGAATAACCTGAAGGACTGATGTTGCATGGGCTTGGGTTCAAAAAAGATTTGAGTTCAAAATCTAGTTCTGACA